ATTCCAGAACGAGCAAAAACATTCCGCACCGGAGCATTCTATTACCTCACACAGACCTAGGAATCATGTTGTCATGGAAACTATTTTAAGAAACTGGCAAACAATTTACTAATCAGACAAATTACCTGAAGTTGACAAGCCGCCATTAACTGTGAGGTGTCTCCATGCAACGTCCGGTTTAAATGCAATTTCATTTTTGTCATATTCAGGGCTCAATGTTGACATCATCACTAACCGTCTCGCTCACGCACGCACGCACGCACGCACGCACACACACTCAACTCATTATATTCCCTGTCAGCTGAAGATCTGCAGTAATTTCCTGCCAACGTTTCTCTCGTTCACATCTTTGGGTGCTAGGAGGAGGGGAAGACATGACATCACTCAGACATGCCTAATGTTGCCACAGTGTTTTCAAAATCCTGCACAGTCGCAATCAGGAAAAGAAAGCCCTGAAGTTTGGGAATGGGCTCAAGGCTCTGCTCTCACTGTGCGAGTGTGTCATACGACCCAAATATCAAACATGCCAAAAAAATGTATCCGACTGGTCGAGATCAACAGATCGGGCCGAGATCGATGCCAAACTGTACACTGACCGCACGACTAATAACGCTCGTAAAATCAGTTGTGCGACTCAAATAAGATCAGGTTTTAGATCAGCCTGTCATCGCACGCTGCGTGCCTGGATTAGCAGTCATGACAAACTTAAAGCTGTCACTGAACACATCTTGTATCCAGGTTCCCTTAACGCTGTAAGGAACATCAGGTGTGGCAGAGGGAAGTGTGTCTTACCCTCTGTGTTGGTTCCTGGAGCTTGAACTTTGGTGGATTTTGGGATGAACTTTAAAACCAACAGTAAACTGAAGGTACTTCCTGCGGCACCAAAACATGCAGTAAACGTCTCCCTGGGGATCAGAAAGGTGAGCAGAGTCAGGGGGGGAGGAACAACTGTTGTACACAGATAGAGATACTTTATTCATCCACTGCAGCTGAAATCAGTCAAGACACAACATAACAACTGGACAAATAACATTTAGGCTCATAAAAACAAGACATTATAGGGTCACTAAGATAACTTGTCTCCATCTTTATTTACAGTCACTGTAATTTACTGTTTTTCCACTTAACACCAACATAAGCATTACAGGAGGAGTGTCTGATTCTAAAGAAAGTATGATTTATATATTTTTTTCAACAGAAACAACATCGCCCACACAAAACTCATGATGCCCGTTACCATAGAAACGGCTCTCACATCTGGGCGGCATATTGAATCTTAATGGCGATCGCTCCAGGCCGAAGCATTTGTTACATTGAAAAATTGGATTGAAATGAAGAGTCACATTTCAATCAAAGTTCAAGTTTTTGTCTTAAACAAAGTATTTAAATTATAACAAATGAAGAAAAAAAATCATTCATTTCAAATATGACTTTGATTAAGTTCAGAGTTTCTTTTCTTTCATCTTTTTTTTTTACCTCCACTTTCATATTTTCTGTTATTTATGGTATGTAATTCCTTTCACTTGCAGATTTCTTGTTTTCGGATTTATGTAATGGCATCATTGTTGTGAATGAAACTCACCCGTAGCGAGTGTTAAGATGGCCGCCCAACGTGGAGCCCGCCACCATCCCGATCCCAAAACACAGACCGAGTTTGGATAAAGCATCGGCACGTTTTTCAGGTTCTGAGAGATCAGCGACCACCATCTGAGAAGCTGCAGAGAGGAGAGGGATTATGAATACATACACAGCAAACATTTTTAGAAATAACTGATGAAAATGTATTTGAGCTGAGTGTTAGCCCAGCCTTTAGGTAATATAGAGAAGTGGTAAACAGATCAAAAATACAAATAAAGATATGATTCAAGACAAAGAATGCTTCTAAAAATCTGTTTTAGAAATAAGTCGTCATCGTTTGAGTATAAAAGCTTCCCCCCCTCCTCCCCCCGACCTAACTTTCATGATTTTAACCCTAAAATATCTAATGATATGCTCTCCTGATACTCTTCTGTCTTGCAGCTTTAGTTTAGAGACAAATGCAGCAAAAGAAGAGATAGATGATTACATTCATGCCAACACATGATGTATCTCTAAAAACAGTGATTTTGGGTTTGGGAGTTTAAAATAGGGAAGAGGATTTTACATTAAAGGTAAAATATTATGTAAACTACACTTTACTGTGTTCCTCTAACACTAATATGTGTCTCTAGTCCGTCTACAAACCCCCCAATTATGAGAAAAGTCCATCCTCTCCGTCTTATGCCTGCTCCACTTTTCAGAAAATGTGTGCTCAAACAGGCCGTTTGGAGATTTTCCCTTCATGACATCACAAAGGGCAGTAACTCCTCCCCCAGGTGGGTGACACTCCCACAGCTAGGTGTTTGTTCTGCCCGCTGAGTCTACCTTCTCACCGTAAACAATAGAGCATGGAGTGAGAAAGCCCGAGACACCCAAGCCCTTCCAGAGAGGGGGCGTGGTCAGACACAGCTCATTTACATTTAAAGGTACAGACACAGAAACAGCCTGTTCTGAGCAGGGCTGAAATAGAGGGGTTTATAGACATGATCAAATACAGGATCAGAGTGGATTTAGAACAAGACACTTCATAGACATGTTTTGAGGAGCTCTGAGACATATTTACACTGGTTGAAAAGGAGGATCATATGTGTGCTGCTTACAAGGCAGGACGTGCATGAAGACTGTGGGGATTTTGTGGATGAACAGCATGGCGGGGTGGTTTGCTACGGCCAGCAGCAGAAAGAAAACAACTGTTGAAGAACACGCCAAAGACAGGGCGACTCGTGCTCCGAATAGATCTGCAAACCTGTCCCAAAAAGAAGATTAAAAAAAAAATCAGAAACCACAAGTTTTCTTCCAGACGACGGTGCAGGTTGGATTTGATTCATAAAGAGACAAAGATACTTCATTATGTTGCAAGTAGTTTTTTGTACTCACCTTCCAAACATTGGTCCCCCGAACAGCTGAATTACACCTACCATGGTTTGTAAATAACCAAACCACAAGGTGTCGAAGCCGAGTTTCTTTGCCAAATACTATAGAGCAACATCATGAAAATACATCTTTAAAATTTACTCCAGAGACAGTTTTATTCATGTCAAAATACCCGGCTCGGAGTCATTCGTTGGTTAACACGATTTTACAGCATAAAAAATCTGGAGAAAAAAGTCTGAAAGGTCTTTGAAGTAAATCTACTGACTTTCACTTTCCTAACTTAAACTTACAGTTAAACTCGTATGGAGGACTTTAATAGCACTTTTTTTTTTATTCCATAAAATCACAGAAATGTTGTTTGTGGACTTTATAGGCTTAATCTTTGTACAACTAGGATGCAGGATAATTCTGAAAAAGATTTCAAATGTTGACATCCTGTGAGCTTTCAGGAATATTATCCTGTGTCAGGAAAAACACATCCTTTACATTACAATTATCTCTCCTTGTGCTAAAGGAACAGCATTACATCAGCTGCCTTCATGTTGTTCAGACACGGCGTTATTTTAAAGTGTTTTCAGTTTGTCCTTGATAAACATCACTTTAAGCCGTATTTGAGAAGGGGAGGTGGGGGGGGGTGATGTTTGTAGTGGTGAAGGCATTTAGGGGCACATTTGTAAAGGAACTCTGAAATCACCTCATTTAGAACAGCGGCTCAGGGGACAGATCTGGCCTGATGGAGGTCAACATTTAGGAGCATATATAAGTATCACCTACATGTCACACTTAAGGTACTCCCTTGTTGTTTACGAGCCCATATAAATAAATTAATTGGTTCTGGCTTCTCAGGAGAGAAACAAATGTTTACATAATTTTACATTTTTTGTAACATTTTAGAGGTTTGCGCTGTCATTTTTTTTAATCAACTTTAAAGTCAGTCAAGTAATGAAGACATTAAGCGGCAGATTAATCCCCAATAAAAAGGTAATCATTACTTTTAACAAGCTTAGACTCGAGCTCCACCTCAACCAGACTACCACGATCAAATCCTGCATGGTTGCATGATCACTCGATGATTTAATATATTTAAATAAACTATTTTAAGGGATTTTTTCTGTTTTTTTGATTCTTTACTAATATTTGTCTCTGCATAGTGATACACTTTTACTGATTTTTAAATAAATGCCTGGAGTATTTCCCCAGAGTGTTATAAGCAGGCAACTTATAAACTCAGTGAAAGATTATTAAATGTGTCCTCCACCATTGAATATGTTACATAACAATGACATAAGCCAATCTAACAGTAGGCTATTTATGAACACTTTACGGATTGATAAAGTACATTTATTTGCAATGTTCTGATTTGTTCTGATACATCGTCTATACTTAGGGTTGGCTTCTTTAACGTTTTTAAAGCCGGACTTTGGTGATATTATGTCTCTAACTTTTTACATGAAAGGTTGAGGGAGTTTTTGCAGTAAACATAAGATGTTATCGCAGCTAAGGAAAAGGATATTTATCTCCAAGTGTCATACAATGCAAATGATCACTCTTAAGTCCGCAATGAATGCACAATAAACACAATCTGTCACCACGGGAAACATTTATACTATAAAGCGCTTGTAGGTTTAAAGGTGTTGACTTTACTGCTTCATAATGTGCGGCTTCCGTCTATGCGTGCACATTCAAGGCAGGCACGGAAATCTCAGCTTCCTGCTCTGACATAACAGAAATACTTACAGGGGTTACAGAAAACTGCAAAAACATCCATGTGATATCCAGAGCAGCGATGACGTAAACGACGTTGATAATTTTCATCCTCTGTCGTTGGTCTAAGGCGTTACCCTGTGTGGAAACTGAAGATTTGGAGGTTTCCTCGGTTGATTCTCCGCTCGGACTCATTTTTTTGGTTTCCTTTTAAACAAAATCACACCAAACTTAGCGGTAGCGGTGATGTTGTTGTTGTTGTTGTCCCGGCGAGCTGCAGTGAATGCAAACCAAGGTGTCGGGTTATTCGTAGCCGGGTAATAACCTTTCACCGGGCGGACTTTCACAAACTAACCTAACTGTCACCCTGTTGAACTTTGACCCCGAGCCCAGAGGCAACACCGAGGAGGCGTTACCATGGTGAGTTAATGCTACTGCTAGCTCCGCTTTAGCAACAGAAAAATAAAAACCATGAAGGTAAAGATGAAGAGCTTGGTTGAGGTATTGTTAAAGGAGCTTCTTGACGTGTATTTAATGTCGTTAAAAGTCCTTTCGGGTCCAAAACATGTAGTGACGAGCAGGGGGGGCGCCCCGCTAGGACGTTATGTTCGTGATGCATTCAAAGACCTCTGCTAAAAAAATGTTTTTTTAGGCTTTTATGGAGTCACGTTAATCAGGACTCCCTCTTTTAATCAGTTCGGGTGAAAATGTGCTTCATAATTTTCTTACAAACAATACAGTTGCAATACCGAAGCTCTTTGAGTTTTCTGCCTCTTCCTGAACTGAATGTTGTCTATTTTCTTATTTGTTTAATATGTTTTTTTTTTTTACATACTGTGCAAATAAAAAAATAATAACACGTGTGTGTAAAAACATGTGTGTGTGTGTAAAAACATGTGTGTGTGTAAAAACATGTGTGTGTGTGTGTGTGTAAAAACATGTGTGTGTAAAAACATGTGTGTATGTAAAAACATGTGTGTGTGTGTGTGTGTGTGTGTGTGTGTGTGTGTGTGTGTGTAAAAACATGTGTGTGTGTGTGTAAAAACATGTGTGTGTGTGTGTGTAAAAACGTGTGTGTAAAAACATGTGTGTGTGTGTAAAAACCTGTGTGTGTAAAAACATGTGTGTGTGTGTGTGTGTAAAAACATGTGTGTGTGTGTGTAAAAACATGTGTGTGTAAAAACATGTGTGTGTGTGTGTGTGTGTGTGTGTGTGTAAAAACATGTGTGTGTGTGTGTAAAAACATGTGTGTGTGTGTGTGTGTGTGTGTGTGTGTGTGTGTGTGTGTGTGTGTGTAAAAACATGTGTGTGTGTGTGTGTGTGTGTGTGTGTGTGTGTGTGTGTGTGTGTGTGTGTGTAAAAACATGTGTGTGTTTTCTCATTTGTTGTTGTGTTTTCTCATTTGTTGTTGTGTTTTCTCATTTGTTGTTGTGCTTTGCACTTCAGGTCCACTGTGGGTTATTGACCATAATTGTGTTATTACCTGTCTGGCAATTATCGATGCAACAATTAGTAGTTACAAGTTATTAAAGAAAAGTAAATTTTGTTCTTTGCTAAGCTTCCTCGAGTATTCAGCCTATGTAGGTCCAATGTAGGCTATAATATTCAAAATAACTATTAGTATTATAAAGAAATCTGTTGCAGGTATTACCATCATTTATGAAGTTCTTTTTTCAAACGTGTATTTTTGACAGGAGTCACAGGACAGTGGATAGAGTCAGATATCGGGGAGAGAGAGAGAGTGGGAAGTTACAGGTCGGATTCGAGCCTGGGTCGGTCGTTTGGGGGACTATGGCCTCCGTACAGGGGGTCAACGCATGGGCCACTAGGCTACAGGCCCTCCCTATTTATGAAGTTTTTTTAAGCAAAAACATCAAACAAGAGCTGTTTTCAGTTCCATTAATGTACGATTGGCTGATTTCCTTTCTTGTTGATCAAATCAAAAGAAGAGGATTGTGTTACGTAAGAAATGCATCCATAAACATTTTATACTTTGACTTTTAAGAGAATAAAAAAAAAAAAAACCTTATTATACTCACATAATAATTTTACTCCACATTGTCAGTGTATTTGCTTTTTTTTATATATATAACAGAGTATTTTTTACAGTGTGGTCCGAGACTGTGAGAGCCCCTCCCCCCGGAAGTAAGCTGCATCATGTGGTCTGTTATCCTCTTGTGTTGTGTGTGTGTGTGTGTGTGTGTAATGGGGGGTTGACACAGTGTCAGATGAGGATCCCCTCTCATCATTTTCAGTAGATTTCTTTCTTTGTTTTCTGGCATGAAGATATGATAAGAGAGACGGTGTAACGATGCAGACCCTCACCCCTCATGTGCACTGGGCTCAGCGGCACGCAGAGCTTTATCTCCGGGTGGAGCTGAGCGATGCGAAGGTAGGAACCGTCTGCAGCATCCGAACAACCGGCTTCTTCTTTCAGCCTGAACTTACACACACTGCTCGACAACTAAAACCTTTAAATGCTCATAAACTTTATCTTCTCAGAGTCGTAGTTGTTAAAATAGCAGCTTAGTTAATATTTGCTGTTTCATTAATGGTTAATCTGGATTGACTGCCTGTCCTGCATCGCTCAATATTATATTTAAAATGTTTATTTTGACCTTTAAAGCAGCAACTAGCCTGCTCCTCAGTCGTTATGACACATGATTATTATAAACAAAGATACTCTATTCTAAATTTAAAAATAAAATGTAACCAGCCTCTTTCTTATTCTTTTTTTTTAATTCTTCCTTTTTATTGTTTTGTTTACATTGTTATTGCTATTTGGTGTGCATGAGTCTCTTACTCTTAAATTCATGTTTAGTCGTTATTTTACGTCTGTTCTTGTTTTAAATCGCTGTAAAAACACTTTAAATTGCACTTCATTTGTATGAAAGGTGATATGTAGATAAAGCTTGATTGATTGACTGAGCTTAAACAAAAAAATACAAATCCTAGGAATCCAGTGTTGGGTAATTTATTAATTTCAATCACCAGAAAATGCACTGAAACTCCTGCTCAATTCAGTTGTCCTATTTGTGCAATTTCTACAACGCTCTCTCTTTATTAAAAATATGACTAGTTTTTTTTCAAAGCTTAAATAATGGAGATTGTTTTGCTTATGGTATCGATAAGACTGTGTCACAAATCTTGACAAGCGTACCACAAGCCATAAAAAAAAATTATTCAAGATGAACTGGAACAAAATAAACATGAAGGATAACGATCAAAATCTTTTCAGGAACTAGACAATTGAGAAAAAAAAACTCGTTTTAATAGGTTAGTTGTTTTTATTAACCCCGTGTGATACTAGCTGTCTGAATGGCTTCTCAATAAGTGCAGAGTAACAGCTGATGATGACAGCAGCAGTGTGTTTCCATCAGTTATACAACCACCAAAATACTTTGATGTTTCTTGCTGATGAAAGCATCTTACATTAGTTGACATGAGCAGATCTATCCACAATACACTAATATGTTGATTATTAAAGTCAGGCAATCACAACCTGTACTAAGAATGACTTCAGTTTGGGGTCTCTTTAACTGACTTGCTTTTATCCTTTTTTTTTTTTTGCTGGCTGCTTGTTTGCATTAAGCAACATGAAATACCGGTTCTTCTCCTCCTGGACATGTTCAGTTTAAGCCCATCCTCGTGCTGCATCTGTCAGACAAACGTCTTATTAAAGATGCATGACCTTTAATGGTCGCCCTGGATCTTGTTCAGCCTGGTAGGAGAATGGTTTCATGATTACTGAACGGGCAGAAAGAAGCACACCTGTCATGATGTTAGGCCCGTTAACCAACGAGGAGAAGAGAGTGCAATGCAAATGAAATAGTTAGTGCCACATGTATGATAGACTTAGATACACATATTTATTGAATTGATCCAAATCAAATGCAGTTATCAAACACACGTGTGGAAAAGATAATGAAGACAAGAAGGTGACTGAACTGGAAAGTAACTGAGCATGAGTGCATCACAGCTTCATACTCTGCAGAGTGATGATCAGTGGGCGCGCACTGTAGCTGTTTATTTTTACAGTCTATGGTGATGATGCTGGTTAAATCCATATAGCGCCCTCTGCTGGTGACAGACAACTGCTAGTGTAACACAATGAAACTCAAATGAAATGCTATTTGACTGGTGAATTAATCTAGTAATATTGGCACATATCTGTGACAAAGTTAGCCGATACTGATAGTCACTGGATAAGATAATATCGGCCGATATTCGGGCTCTAACATGGATTATCATCTGATTTCATATTTAGATTTGTGTTTGGGTGTGTCAGTGTCGGGCTGGGTTTGATGGTTGCTTGTGTGTTTTCAGAATCTGGAAATCAGCCTGCAGGAGAACAACACTCTTCAGTTCAGAGGTGAGTTGAGAGGTGAATGTTGTCATGATCTGTTAAAAGTCGAGTGATCAGTCGCATTTACCTGTTATTTTTACACCGTGTGATTTGTTTGACAAACTTTCACTTTATAGATCTGTTGTGATGTGATGACTGTTTTCATAGTGGATTCATCTGTGCGTTAGGTTTCCCAGAGTCTCAAGTGTTTAGTTTTATTTGCTTCTTTTTTTAACAACCAACAATCCAAAATGTGAAGTCTCTCCATTCACTGTCAGAAAAACATCATTACAGTAAAGAAGCTGGGACCAGGAAATGTTTTTACACCTGTGCTTTTAAATTACTTACCTTTAATACAGCTTTAAAATAGACGGTTATTAACATCCTTTCAATCATGTAATTCAGGGGTGGGCATCTTGCGGCCCCCATCAACCCTTAACGTGGCCCTCAGGTCAATTTTTACATATCAAATAATTGGAAACATGAAGAAAACATGACTAAATATGCCATGAAATCATGAAAACCAGAAATATGTCCATAATAAAATGTGATCACTGCTGAGTTAAATTTGAGACATAATTGACTGTAATCGTTTCCGTATACAATTTGGCCCCCTGGCAGTGAGTATTAAATGACTGTGGCCCCTTGCTGTGACCAAAGTTGCCCATCCCTGATCTAATTGATCAATATGCTTATGGATGAAGTTTGATTTTTCATAAAACTCTTAATGTGAAGCCTGATATCGTTACGTTCTAAAACGTTTTGTCTTGTTTTTGTCCCACAGCTCAGGGTCACGGAGCTAAAGGAGACAATGAGTACGAGTTCAGTTTGGAGTTCCTTCAACCTGTTAGACCCGAGGTACTGATCCATTTTTATACATGAATATTATATAAATATTTAAACCAGTAATAATATTCTTGTGTTTTTTTTTCTTAATTTTCATAATGATCAATATCAACAGTTAGTGATATTTATTTCCACACAGAGTCTTACCTGTCTGTTGCTTTTGTAGAAATACGTTTTATAAGCCCTGTTTTTTATTTGACTTACTTCATACTTTCTGGTTTTACACTCTATTATTGAGAGACATGCTTCTTACATACATAGTCCCGAATTACACACACAGTTCAGTGCTTTGCTCAAGGGCACCAACTTCCATATTTTGGTCCATACCGGGACTGAACTGGTGACCCTCCGGTTCCCAACTTAAATCCCTACAGACGGAGCTACTGCCGCTCTTATTTTATTATCCTTGCAGTGACATGTTGTTCAGGTGTCATCAGAGATATGAATAAATATTCAAAACCAAATCATAGCATTTAAAAAACCATTGCAATAAATTCCTTCCAGATTCTATGTTTAGTTTTAATCATCTTCCACCAGTAAAACAATGAAGGTTTTGCTCAATGGATAATATCATACATCTCTCCCCGGCTGGTTGGATGACAAATCCTCAGTGTTGAAGATAATGCGTCACTTCATTGAGTGTACCAGCAAGAAAAGAGTCTAATTAAAGAAGGCGCTGTTTCTTAATTATGTAGTACAGCACGACCCTGCATATGTGGTCACATTATTATCAGGGAGTTTATATCAGAGGATCAACGCTGCAGGTTTCTATTCCACACCTGAACTACGACGCATGACGAGGCAGTTTTCAAAGTGTGACTTAAGAAAAGAGCTTTGATGTCTGGTTGGGTTCATTATGGCATTAGTGCTGAAATACACTTTATGATCATACCAGCCCTTATACAAAAAGAAAAAAGATTTCATTCAGTTCTTCAAATTAAATTCAAACGAGGGAACATGAAAACAAGGACGAGTGCTATTTTTTTTAGTTTTTGCAATATTTAGATGAAGGGTGCAACAAGAATTCCATAATACATAAATGTACAAAGAAATGCAAAAGATTAGGTAGAAAATTAAAAAAAGGGTTGTAGTGGTTAGTGAGCGTACCCCATGTACGGAGGCTCTAGTTCTCCAAGCGGACGGCCCGGGTTCAATTCCGACCTGGGGCTCCTTTCCTGCAGTTATTCCAAATTCTCTCTCTCCCAGATATCTGACTCTATCCACTGTCCTGTCTCTAAAAAAATGGCACAAAAATAAACCTTAAAAGTATTTTTTTTAAAGGATTGTAGTGTCAACTCTTTGTGATGTCATGAAGGGAAAATCTCCAAAACGACCTGTTTCAGCACACATTTTCTGAAAAGTGGAGCAGGAGAAAGACTGAGAGGATGGGCTTTTCTCACCATTGGGGGGTTTGTAGACAGACTAGGGACACAAATAAGTGTTAGAGAAACATGGTGAAGTGTATTTTTCATAATATGTTACCTTTAAAGTCTAAAGTTAAAAGATAAATCATTAATTTTACATATGACAGTAATTTATCCTTTAACCATCTAAGGTCGTTAAAGTAGTGGATTAAAGGACGAGTCACAGTCTTCTTGGATGAAAGACACAGAAGAAGAAACTTTATTCTCACAACAGCTCGTCACATGATGTCTCTGCTCTATGTGTGTGTCAGTAAAGAAACCTTGTATCATTATCTGACTCTGTGTGTTTTCAGATCAGCCATAAGTCCACGCAGCGTCTGGTGGACATAAAGATCAGGAAGCAGGAGGAGCGCTGGTGGGACCGGCTCACGCTGCAAGAGAGGAAGCCTCTGTTTCTGGCTCCAGACTTCGACCGCTGGCTGGACGAGTCTGACGCAGAGATGGAGCTTCAGGCTAAGGTAGGAGGAACGTGAAAAAAAAACGAATAAACTAAACACATCCACATAGAAGAGGCAGTAAACAGGACTGGCTTTTTTTTTTTTACAGTTAACACACAAATATCAGGCGTATAAACGACGATAAGAAGGAGACAGGTTTTATGTTTTTATCTATAATCTGAAAGAGGAAGTCGTGGTGAAGCCATTTTTAACAACATGCTTTCCTCATGCTTCATGTTGTACAGCCAGCCCACAAAACTTTGCATTTGTGGTTGTGTTCTGGCAGAGCTCATAGGACAGGTTTCCTTTAATCACAAATCAGCTGGCTGACAGCTATATCCTGCTCTGAGTTGTTAATGTTAGCCTCTCCCACTCATAACACAACAAAGTCACATCATGTCAGGAGCCAGGAAATACTGACTTTGAGGTGAGAGGGGAAACTTCTTTCTTGTTTAGAGTCAAGACGTCCAGATCCACTGCTCATGTTTCTGACTTGCTCTGATTGTAGCCAGCTCGGTCCTCAATGGAGATCGTTCTGAAGACAAGTTTTCAAGACTCAGATCTTTGAATCATCAATAAAAAATGTTGCAAAGATTACTGAAATCAGTCTTTAATTTTATATATCTATATTTATGGATCCAGAGCAGTAGGTGAGCTCATGTTGGGCTTATTTATGCTTTTATTGTAGAGATAGGACAGTGAATAGAGTCAGAAATCAGGGACGTAGTGCAAGGGGGGCAAGAGCACCAACCACTAGGATACTGGCGCCCCACCTCCAAACAAACAAAAAAACCTATAAAGCTATAAATTATTTCAGTGTCAACAACTCCAGATGGTCAAAATCAGGTTTTGAAGATAATGCTTTTAATCCCAATGAGGTTTCTCCTGGTTAGATACATTTTAAAGAGGACATATTATCCTCCTTCTCCACCGTTTCAAACAGTCCCCCTGTGGTCTAAATGAAACATCTGTGCTGTGCTTTGGTCAAATATAACATGAATCAAGCACCAGAGGAGGTTTGTGACCCTGTATAAACCAGCTCTCTCAGAACGCTCCGTTTTGGTGTGTGTGTCTCTTTAAATGCAATGAGCCCCCCCTGAGTTTTCCTGGTAGACATCACTCCTCTGTAGCGAGAATAAAAATGGCGGACCTGCGCAAAAGTTTTGTTCTAGGCTGGAGGTGGAGTCAATGGGTGGAGATATCAGGGGAGGGGAGGGATTTTTTTTTTTTTTACCAGAATCCCACTGTGACATCACAAGGAGAGCAAATTTGAAACGGAGCATTTTCCTCTGTGTTGTAAGACTTACCACAAAAAAAAGGACTGGATGGGTTTATGAAAGAGTGTGGATTATTTTGTTTACATGATTAAAAGAGGTGAACGTAGCAGGTTATATAGTAAAGTGATGCTGAGTGTGATGTTGTGTTTTCTCTCAGGAGGAGGAGAAGATCAACAGGATCAGTGTGGAGTCCAGAGTCCGTAAAGACCGTGAGTCACACTCAGCCTCTCTCTCAGAAACGTTTCTAACTAGAGATATGTCATGAATGTTATAAACACATTCATTCCATCGATGTCCACTAATCCAGTGATTCGTTCTGTCTCCTCAGCCTACCTCGGGTTAAAGAAAGGATACTTGTTCATGTACAACCTGGTGCAGTTCTTGGGATTTTCCTGGATCTTTGTCAACATGACTGTTCGACTTTTCATTCTTGGACAAGGTTTGTCGAAGGAAAACACAACACTGTCAGCTGACTGTTTAGAGACAGCGTTATTCACAGAGGGAAGGAGAGTTATGAACTATAATTAAAGATAATGATGAACCTCTGAAGGAACCAGGGTCTCTAATAAACTCCAGTTATATCAGCCCCCACTGGCAACAAGTCTGACATGTTTTTCTTTTAATTTAAGACCAAATCTACATCATCAGTGAGGAGAACGTGTGAGGCAAAGATTAAACCAACAACAGTGCAGACATTTGGTTAGAGCTGATTATTAAGAGTCTGCTGTGAAAACTTAAAACTTACATAATTAGACATTAAAAGACACATCAGGGAAATCATCTTCAGACAAGTCGTTTAACATCCTCTTCAAAGCATCCAATGAGAGCAGCTTGTTAAGTTTCAGCTTTTTTTTGTAACTCATTCCAACTAAAGGGAGCAGAAAAACTGAAACGCCTTTTTCCCCACTTCAGTTCGGACTTTTGGAACAGTCAGTAAGAAAAGGTCCTGTGATCTAAGGGTCCCTCTCCTCTTCTGACTGATGGAGGTCAGAAAAGTACAGGGACTCTTCTGAGTGCAGCTTAACTTCAGTTGTTTCACTAAATTGCCTGCTGAGTTCTGGGATCGCAGCAATCATTCTTAGAAGAAAGTCCAAAGAGGAAATCAACAAACACAGTTCAGGTTGCACAGATCACTTTTAAAAAAAGATAAAACATGAAGAGACTCCAAAACGATTAAACGTCCCTCAGTGCGCAAAAAAAGTAGCACACATCGACTGTGTGTTTGACGGGTCGAAGACAGAGGAGGAAGTTTGTATTTAAAGTGTGCCGTAAGTAAGCTCAGCCGTTACTCTGAAGACGGCACAGAGTGGGAATTACTTTGTCCCCCAATTACGCTCTGAGACATTCAGACTGAAGGCGAAATGTCACAGGGGCGTAAATATCACGGCTTGAAATGTCAAGTCTGAAAAAGGGCTGATGATGTTCCCAAATGGATCACAAGATAACAGAAGGCCAAAGCTATAAATTCTAAGTTTGACTTTGTGTGTGTTAGAGTTGTAATACAGATTTAAGGTTATATTTCCTCTCATTTCATTTCAGAGACATTAAAGCAGCTTTGAAGGGAAATCATTGCGGTTCATTTTTTTATCCATCTTTTGTCAGAGAAATAGTTCTCATGCTTTTTTTTTAAAGACATCACACGACTGTTTTTAAAAGTGCAAACAAAACGCCAAATTGGCAGGCTGCAAAAGAACCAAATGAAAAGAGAACTAAACCATTTGTACTCACTAATAGCTTTTGAATTTTATGGACTAAATAATGAATTACTGCTTGATAATGAACACAAAAACAGAAAGGAGACAAACACAATTAGTGCCACTGTGCAGTATAAAAAACAAACAGGAGGTCTGTGTTTTTGTTTGTGTGGAGCTTTTCACCGATGAGCTCATTTGAATAGAAACAGGAACACGACTACACAGCAGGGATTTGTTTTGCAAATGATGAGGATTATAGATGGTGGCTCATGTAACTGTTTAATGAGGTCGCTTTGTTTCTGTCTCTCTCCACAGACTCCTTCTATGATACCTTCCACACCACGGCTGATATGATGTATTTCTGTCAGATGATGGCCGTGCTCGAGGTCATCAATCCCTTACTGGGTCTGGTCAAGACGGGATTTTTCCCTTCTATGATACAGGTAACACAGGAGAGACCGTCACCTCTGATTTGATTTCAAACAGAGAGTGTAACTCCAGTGTAACATCTCAACACTGACGAGACCCTACTCTTATATGTTAAAGGTGCGAAGAAAGCGGACGAGAGAACTGGTTCAGATAGAAGTGATTGTACCCGACCTAAAAAGCCTCTGCATGTTTCTAATAAGCTCCACGAGCAGAAACGTGCGCAAACTAGGATCAATATTGGAGATACTTTTGAAAAATGGAGAGAGGTTAGAACACAGAAAGGTTTACAGACCGATGCAGAGCTGGATAAACACTGAAGCTTCAGTGTCCACCACATGGCAACCTGCGTGAACATCGACTCTAGAGAGGAGGGGGGGCGGGGGGAGACAGATCTCTACAACGTTTTCAATTTGGACTGCAGTACCCATTTTAAACACTAGGGGTCAGAGTTACATATTGCTCCTTTAAACATATCATTCTGAAACCATGGCCATTCATCTGCTGCTGCCACTAGTTCATATTTCATGTGTTTTAGGAACATGACCGCAACGTTTTTCTCCATTTTACTGTCTTGAGAGCATTAGAAAGGATCAAGACTGAAGTTACACAATCTCTCAAGTAGCCTTCTGACTGGGTGCCAGTGGCCTAGTGGTTGATTTGCATGCCCGGCGCACAGAGGCTGTGTTCCTCTAGGCAGAAAACCGTGGTTTTGGATCCAACCTGTGCCTCCTTTGGCGCATGTTGTTCCCCGCCTTCTTTCTCCCTGGTTACCAGCTCTGTCCTGTCTCTCTGATGGAGGCATAAAAAGTCCCAAAAACTGAATCTTAAAAAATGCACATGAAACGTTGCACCAACAATCAATATATTTAACAATGATTGTACCAGCACACGTCTCTCTCTCGCTCTCTGATTACCTGCTGAGAATGTCTCAGATGCTACTCGCAAAAACATATGCAACAGATCAAAAGACTTTGTCAATAAATGAGTCTTTATGGGCAAACACATTTTGTTCAAGAAACTGCAGGAATAGAAAACAATGTCCCAATAATACACTCTGAGCTGAACTCACGTTTTGAGCACTTTTGTAGGAATTTCACACCGAGTGGTGTTTTGTTGTTTGTCCTGTGTTTCTGCAGGTAGCAGGGAGGAACGTCATTCTGTTCGTAATCTTTGGCAGTCTGGAGGACATGCAGAACAAACCTGTGGTCTTCTTTGTGTTCTACCTGTGGAGCACCATCGAGATCTTCAGGTGAGCTCACGTCTCCTTCCTCCCCCTCTTTCTGGTGAACACACAGCGTGTCGTAGTCTACTGTAACGCCCGCTCTCTCTCTCTCTCTCTCTCTACATCAGATACCCGTTCTACATGCTGGCCTGTATGGGCACGGACTGGAAGCTGTTGACGTGGCTCAGATACAGCCTCTGGATCCCGCTGTACCCGCTCGGGGTTCTGGCTGAAGGTTTGTGAGCGGTTTGTTAACAGAGAGAAAAGGTTGGAGTAACTGCAGTTTATGAAGGTTGTGGCTTACAATGTGTAACACTGTGTTTCCAGCGGTGGCAGTGATCCAGTCTCTGCCAATCTTCGATGAGACTCGTCTGTTCAGCTTCCCTCTCCCCGCCATGCTGGGTAGCTCCTTAAGCTTCTCATACACCCTGCAGCTCTACCTGATCCTCATGTTCCTGGGTGAGACATCCGCAGACACACTCTCTAGATGTGCTTCTTTAAATATACAGCGCTGTGCATTTTAAAGTATCTGGAGAGAAACAATGTGCAAACATAAATGTAAAGGTGATTTTCACTGTTTTTAAAAAAGTGGGATGACCTGAATGGGGACTCATTGTTTTTTTTTTGCCTTTTACAGATTTATTTTTGGGCTGTTGCCTTTGATATGATAGGACAATGGTTAGAGTAGGAAAGTGGGAGAGGAAGTGGGAAAAGAGCCGTGAATGGACTTGAACCCGGTCACTCGCTTTAAAGACTACAGTACTACATGAGTGGAACTTAACCGCGGGGCTGCCCGGGACTCCATTTTTAAAAGCACTGATTTCAGAGAGTTTTTATCATTTCTTGCAAACATGCTTGTGGAGAATTCAATGAATATTTGTTACTAAACTGTTGGTGATACATCACCCTGTTCTGCACTCTCTCTATTTTCATACTTTTTTTTCCTTTGCCTATCACAAGCCTGCTTTTGGCATCTTTTTTTAGTGCTGTGCAGACTCTTCATTAGTGCTTGTCTGTAGTGTTAGGCTGTATTATAACACTGACTGAGGTTCCCTCTGCTCTGCAGGACTCTTCATCAACTTCAGACACCTGTACAAGCAGCGCAGGAGACGATACCGCTCGAGGAAAAGGAAAGTCCAATAACTCCTCTCCACCTTTCCTGTTTCACTCCATCTGAACTGACGACCAGGAACAGATCAAACAGCAGCTTTATTTCCTCTTATTGCCTTTCCTCATCTTCCCCCACACACACACACACACACACACACACACACACACACACACACACACACACACACACACACACACACACACACACACACACACACACACACACACACACATCATGTAGGAGTTCTGGTCCTCTGTTAACACTCTTCTGGGTGAACTGGTAACATCTTATCAGCTGAAATCAGCACTCTGGTGGATCCAGAGCGTCACAACGTTCAGTCTGAGTTTCCATCTTGTTTAATCATGAGCTCCGTCGGTTTTATCTGGTTTCTAAAAGAGAAATTTCAATTTTCAGAGCGATGAGGGAACAATTAGTGTCAGAGTTGGGAAAAAAGAAATGTTTCATGCACACACTCAACACAAACGATCTGTAACTGCATTCACTTTGTATTTACCCTGCTTTAAAAATGAACGTCCTCATAGGTTAACAAACACTATCTCTACCTTTAAAAACAGCTCTTTAAAGCATGTCTTAAAGGTGCTCTGTGTTTGTTTTATTACTTTATTTACAAATCACAGATCGACTCAATATTGATTTATCTTTCTCTCAGTTGATGTTGAACTTTTGGATCCTCTGGAAACAGTGAATGAGTTTGTACGTACACACTGTGTTTCACTCCTGATAGCCTCCAATTGAATTATGAGACACCCAAAGATTCCCAACCTTACTGATAATAAATGTTGTTAGAGGGTTTTTTTGTTTTTACATCGTTTTAGACTTGGCGTGCTCATGACAGCAGTAACAGTGCGTTTTTTAAAAGGGAGGAAGACAACTCCAGTTTTAACATAAACCGGCCTACATGAGGCCGAGGCCTAACATGATGAACACATGATGCATCTTTGATTATAATCAGTCATTAATAATGGATTGTTCAGTCATGAGAAAATTTGAAGAATGAGAAACTTTCCCTCTGAATATTTGAATCCGTTTTATTGCAAACATTTTAGAGTTTTTAAAAAGTAGATGCATGACTTATATCCGAAACAAAGTATTTAACTCTGCAGTATTGAGATAGAGCTTTATCCACCACTTGTCCCTGAATTTGTTTAATTAGAAAATGTGCTAATACCTTTGAAGAAGTTTTCTTATGATAGAATTTGCTGTTTTAAAATGATATGTCACATTTGATTCCTCTCCTATATGTTGCTGTTAATAACATTCAGGCTGCAGCTGTTAAATCAAATGTGTTTCTCACTGCAGTTTAACAGCTGTGACAGATATTGTGTTTTTACTTTTAGATCTTTATTCGATTGTTTTGTTGCATTTTGATCCCAGATCCTCCTGATACGATGAAAAATAATGTTTTAAACTCTCCGTCCAAACTTTTGCTGAAGTGAAAAGGATCGTCAGGTTTCCCGATGAGTCGATAACTTTGCTCTTATTTATGACTTATTTTTCCAAACCGTTCACCTCTCAGCCTTTTCTCTGTTTTGATTTTTATTTATTACTGAAGATGTCGCCTGTCGTACGTTTTCTGAACAACTTCTCTGGTGTGAACTCAAAGCTTCTTTAGACCATTTGTTGCATTTTAAAGTCTTTTGACAAACGTTTGAATTTATGTTGCGATTCTGTTTTACTGACTAAATAAACATTAAAGTTTTTAATCTGAAGGTCTGATGTTTTCTTTCCCCTGAGGATCCCTGCTGCTGAAGTGACTCCAGACACTTTTTTAAAGACCTTGATTTCATTAAACGTTTAAATGATGTCTGTTTTACAGGTTCATGATTGAAGGTTATCATTCACCTGCATCAAGAAAGATAAAATATAGACATTTGTCTGGTGTTATTTTAAAACAATTCTAAACCAAAAGTTCAGAAAAATCTGTAACAAATGTAGAAATATTCATATTGTTTAGGATTCATTTCCCAGCTGTAGTTTATCTTCTACTCTGGATCAGTTTCCTGTTTTACATCATCGCTTTAATTAAAAATCCTCATGCACACTGTGCAGTTAAACTCATTAATTATTGTTGTAACGTCATCATGATGAGACTGTGGAGCATCCTGACACCACCACCTGTGTCTTTGACTGTGAGTTAAATGTCTAATCTTATTTATTTAATTCTGTTTAAAGTTTACCCTTCATGGAGTATTTATTATTGTCTCAAAGTGAGTTTGTAAATCACTGTCCGTCACTATCCATATTTATCCATTAATACATCATTACTCTTTTTCTACATGTACTTTCTGAACTCTGTTCAACCTGAAACAGAGGGGTTTTGACACCTGATGTTGTGGGGAAGTCGGAAACACGTGCGTTTTGGACATATTCAATCTCCGCTCAGATTCCCTTTCACGTTTTATTACATGTCTGTGAATGATCACATCTCAGCCTGAGGCATAGCCTGCATTTCTCGCTAATCTTGTTTCCACATTTATTTTCAGACTTTTCTCTCCGTGAGGGGGCTCAAATCTGTTCTCCCCACTCCTAAAATCAATCTAAACGCGACCACACCCAAAAGAAGGATCAAACTCCCCCTGTGCTCCACTGAACATGTAATTATTCTGCATCCATCAGGCACCGCGCGCAGAGGTCTCACCTCAAACACGCAGCTGCGACGAACACACTCACACACACACACACACACACACACACACACACACACACTCTCACACACACACACCTGTTTGAATGTTGGCGAATTAATACAGCAGCGATATGTGTGAAAGGGAAGGTGAGAGGTGTTCGGCTCCTAATCGTCTTAGCAGCATTATGCTGAGCTGCGTTCAAGCCCTGACATGCGGTGCGCCCTTGTAGCTCCCCAAAACCCCGGAGTCAGCGTCTCTGCGTCCGTTACGCACAGCTGGAGGGACGGCGGCGAGGAGGCGAGCAGCCGACGGTGCAGGTAAGACCCCACAACATGTCACTGTTCACGGGGTTTTATTGTCTGGATTTTATTGTCTTCATGTTCATCATTTACATTTTGAATGAATACAGATTTAAGATTTTCTTCGTTCTTGCGTAACCATCAAAACAAATGTAGCTACACCTGAACGCGCCGCTTTTAAGTGAGTTATTTGTCCTGTTTTTAGAAACATGGGAATCTTAATGCACTGTGGGTTGTGTTCATCAATGTTCTCTTAATGGTCGATTAATACACACGCGAGTTTTAACGTCTCGTGTCTGTGCGCGCGTGCATGCTATAGAGTATACCGGTATGTAGAAAACATCTTTGAATTAAATGGCTTCATTTGTGGAAGAAAGTTCGGATTCCTTTCCCTTTTGGATCATGTTTAACGTGTTTTCAGTGGACTCCTGGTTTGTGAGAAGCCAAAGCCAGAGTGATTATGTAGCCATAGTAACAGGTGGCTGTCTGCATCCCCAACACACACCACACACACACACACACACACACTTCTCTTCAGTAGGTCTGCCTCTGCAACTATGTGAGCTAAGAGGACATTACAAACATCTTCCTGATGTGTTTTCTGTTTTCAGTCTTTCCACTGGTTGAAGCCGCCCTCTGTAGAAGATGAAACACACTGTGTGGATGTGTGTGTGTCCCCTTCCTCGTCAGCGGCGTCCCCTCGCCACTCATCTCTGCTGAAACCATCAACGGATAGCGATGCATCTGACATAGCTTCCTGTCGGGTGTGGAGACCGCGAGGACAATGAACGCGCACTCGCCTCTGAGGAGGAGATTCAGGCGTGGTCGCCTCCTCTTCTTCGTCTCAGGTGTGCTCTTCTGTCTCGTCTACACTCTGACTCTGAAGGCCTGGCTGCAGGAGCCGCTCGCCTCCGCCCAGACACATGGTGATGATGATGTAGTGGAGGTGAACGTCCGTGAGGTGAGGCCGTCCAATGAGACGGCAGAGGAGGAGGAGGTGGTGATGTCACCTGACAGCTCCAAACCTCCCCTGGTGTTTGTCGTCAACAGGACGGATATTGAACAGTGTATCTATGTGGAGCCCCCCAAACCTCCACCACCTCCAACCACAGCTCCCCCTCCTCCCCCACTAACGCCCCCCCACAGGAAGGGAGACTTTCCAGAGGACCTCTTCTCAGTGGAGCAGCGCCAGCGAGGCTGGGTGGTGCTTCATGTCGTAGGTATGATCTACATGTTTGCAGCTCTGGCCATCGTCTGCGATGAGTTCTTCGTCCCCGCTCTGGAGGTCATCACCAACACGTTGGAGATTTCTGATGATGTAGCCGGGGCGACCTTCATGGCAGCTGGAGGCTCTGCTCCCGAGCTCTTCACCTCCCTGATCGGAGTCTTCATCTCGCGCAGCAACGTGGGCATCGGGACCATCGTGGGCTCGGCCGTCTTCAACATCCTGTTTGTGATCGGGATGTGCGCCATCTTCTCGAGGGAGATGCTGCACCTGACGTGGTGGCCGCTCTTCAGAGACGTCACCTTCTACATCCTGGACCTGATCATGCTCATCGTCTTCTTCCTGGACAGCAAGATCCTGTGGTGGGAGAGCATGCTGCTGGTGCTCGGCTACATCAGCTACGTCAGCTTCATGAAGTTCAACAGTCAGATCGAGAAGGCGGTGAAGACGCAGATCAACAAACACATGAGCATCGTCAAAGTGTGGAGCGCCGAGGAGCCCGAGAAGGTGAGTGAGGGAGACGGACATAGAAATGTTAAAAAGATGCAAAACAAAACATCATTCTTGATCACTTGGAGGATTTAGAAAACAACCCTGTCTGAGTGTTTCCATCAGTCTGAGTCCCTTAAAGTGGATTCATCTAAACTTTAGCAGCTCTGTTATTCTGCAGCCAGATCTCCATCCAACATCTGAAAGCAAATTCTGATTACAGCCACCACTCGGCTCCTTCGCTGATGCTACACTGAAATGTCTTCAGTTTGAATTTCATGGTATGAGTTGAATTGAAATGATCAGAGAGTTATGCAGCAGCTGCTGTCGAGATCTGAAAGTCTCCTTTAAGTGACAAATGTTTCAGTCAATGGACAGAAATGTATCAACAACAATTAAACCTAAAAGCACAGTAATGCATTCAACAGAAAGAAAACATTTGTTGAGCCTAAAGTGATACATTTGTCAGTTCCTGAGTCGTTCATGACAGTAAACTTTACGTTTAGGTTGAGGGCTGTTGGAAGAGCAAAAATGAAATCAACAAGTGTTAACTGATGCACAATAGAGAGCCCAGATAGTGATAATGGAGCCAAAAACTGATGGGAGGCATGTAACAATGTCACACAGGAGTGATAAGAAGGGAAAGGACGAAGCGTGATCCTTGACTCGAACCTTATTATGGACATTTTATATTCTTCAGATGTCGCCAGTAAATCTTTATGTGATTGTCTTGCAATATATAAATTATCGCAGAATCACTGTATCAGTCAATCAATCATTATTTGTATTGCCCCATTTCACAACAAGTGTTACCTCGAGACGCTTTACAAAAGAGCAGGTAAAATACCTGACTCATTGTTATGCTACAAAATGAAAAATGGGATAGGGGGAGATGGGAAAAGTCCTCGTGTTCCTGTGGTCCACACTTCCTTGCCGCTGAGGTCGGAGCAGGCCATGCATGATTGAGGACGGCGGTGGTTTGTGGGGGCCTCGCTCACCTCGCTGTAGGTTGGGGGAGCTCCGTCTGCTGCCAGGACAACGCCTCCTGCACTTCTAACACACTGACGCCAGTGACTAACTGAAGGAGGGGGCGGGGTCCACATATCGTTGGCCACATATCGCTTATTAATCATCGTATCGTATGATGAGCTACGCTGTGATCCCCACCTCTAATGTTCAAACAGGTTGTTTTAGCATTCTCGTGGGATTTGTTGGCCGAATGAAACCAGTCGTGTCGTTTGATGTGCAGTTACCAGCAGAAGAAGAAGAGAAAGAAAAACACAAAAGCAGATGTTTCTGCAGCACTCGATATCACACAGACGTCCATCTCTGCACACAGGATTGCTTTTGTTTCCTTTCATCTGCTCACAGTTTGCTCTGCTGCCTGCTCAGATTCAGAGGGAGGGTGGGGGGGGGGGGCAGACAGTGATTTGTGGGTCTGAACAGATGACAGCCTGTGTTTGTGTAAAAATCCTTTGATGATGCTGAACAGAGAGGACTCCAGGTGTCACAGTGATGAGATTGAAACGTCACAACCCTGATATGATAAAAGAAGAGAACAATAATTTACATTAAAAGGTTTTGTTTTTTCTGCACGACGTCTTGCAGATTGAACATCCCTCTGCAGGAGGCAGAGAGCAGGGAATGTGTAGGTCCGTAATTAACATGCAGCGCTGTGTGTTTCAGCGTTTCAAGTATCCACCGAACATTCTGCAATTACCCTGAAGCACGTCTGTGGTCACTTTTCTCCCCTTCAATCACAGCTCTGAGCTTAATGAGGCATGCTGCCACATTAATGGGTCAGAAAGACGGAACATTTAAAATATCCTCTTCCAGGAATCCACCATGCAGTTACATTTTTATCAATGTATTTGTGTCATATTGCACATTCTTTAAGCGGGTTTTGTCTTATTTTATAATATGTTCAGAGGGTAAACGCACAAACACTTCATGGTGGAAGGACCAGATGGTGTTGATTTGTTATTAAGTTATTTTACTTTTTTTTTTTAGAGACAGAACAGTGGATAGAGTTAGAAATCGAGGAGAGAGAGAGAGCAGGGAATGACATG